AATAGATGTAAAGAAGTTGGACTTCGGAGCACACGTCATTCCGCTGGAGCGCTGTGGTCATAAGTGATGTCTGGCGGCCGAGGGTAGGGAAAAAGGGACCTGTTCCAGTGGTGCTTGGGTAGCCGCGAGAACCTAGACACACGTGTGTGTGTGTTCAAATGGAAGTAGGTCAAGTCTCTGCAGGTCAGCGCGACTGTATGCGCTGACTGAGGTATTGGATGACCTTGAGGCAGCTGGCGTTGAACAATGACGCCAGACAAAGCAATGGAGGGCATCGTACGGCAGAGACCACTACAAACATTGCCGACAACAAACAAGGGAGACTGAAATGACCACTTCTGACTTATTAGCCGTCCTCAGCCAGCCATACCCAACCCCAGGTGATGCACCATCCGATGGTCGAAACCGCAACCTGTTGGTCAGAAGTCTAATGCCCTAACCGTTGCGCGTTGGTATCGCTTTCTTGCCAGTTTAGCTGGGGAATATTGACTGTGAGGGATGAACGCCCATCGATCTACTCCGGGACTCATTCGTCCCATTCTGCGTTGAGGCTCACTCTTGGGCCTTGCCAACAACCGCACAGCGGCCAGTATGATAGGTAGATGAAACAAAGGTATTACTATTCCAGAAAATTCAAGGACTTGTGCGATCGGAGCTAAATTTTCAAAGCAGGACGCTCGCGCTTTACTTCTTTTCACGATTGCTTTTACGAATATGTACAATTCAGATCACGCGCAGGCTTACCTTGAAAGTATACAACGTGGTATAGTTTTTTGCACAGCTCCGGAAGTCCGTCTGAAAAATTCGAAAAGCATAACGCTACTAGGGAAGTTTTCACGAAGTTTGGTTTCCCATAGACAAACAGGAACCATTACACAAATGCTAAGAAAACTAGCTACTTACAATAATTCAGTAGAGGCTATTTAAAGTTACAGTATGTATAATATTGACAGCTTCCACCGAGGAAGGTTATAAACGCAGTTCATTATTTATTGCAGGACTCCACCTTCACAATTCCACCATCAATGTAGCGTAACCGGGGCCTGAAAAGCAAGACGTCAAGGACGTAGATGGCATCAGCACTGCAGTCCATGATAAGCCAGATCTGCATGTAGTCCGCTGTGTCATAGGTATCGAAGGCCTCACGGAAAGGAATTGCAACAGCATTGTAAATGAATGACAGGAATACGATAAACATCCACACGAGGCAGAGCACACCTAGTAAAGAAAATAAAGGAAAGTTTCGGTCGTTTATGGTCAAAGAAGCAGAGTTCAGACTGTGCGCATGTTAGCAGTGTGCTGTATTTTGGTACTCTTGAAGTTTCATTCTGTCTAATGGTTTACTCGCCTTAAGGGGGGTGAGAGTATGCCATCCGTTGTTGACGAATACCCTTGGAGATCAAATCATCAGTCCCTGCTCGTTATCAAATCCGTCCAACTTGACTTTAAAACGAACCTTACAGTGAATTGTTCAGTCACAGGCACTGGAGCACGTGCCACGCTAGAGTGTAACATATCAGTCGTACTACAGTTCACGTATTATAATAACTGTTGAACTTCTTATGTGGAATTATCGACTAAGTTTGAGCAGAGGACAG